ATAGTCTCTCTCTAGTTACTTTACTCTCCTACTGTTTTATGATTACAATGCAAAAAGTATTGCAGTTTTACTCCTTCCAACTGAATATTTGTGAGAGAAACCAATCCATTAAATTCAGTCTAAGCAAAACAGAATGGATCTTAGAAGTGTATGGGCAAGTATCAGTAATAACACTTATCCAGTTCAGTTGGACAGAGCTAGGAGATGGTGTAAGTCCCAAACTGGTTACATTCCATAGCCCAACTAGAGACAACCCATCAGAGTTCAGATGGGATGAGGTATGACTTGGGGCTTGATGTATTTGGTTTTTACTATGCAGTTATCTGCAGAACTTGCTATGGTTTCAAAGCACTAATATAATTAATATCACGCATTCTACAAGGCCCTCTACCTTCTTTTTAGAGAATGGGAATCTGAGGAATAGCATTAGGCCTAAATTTCCAAAAGGGACCGCTCCTTTGGGGACCTCAGTTCATGGATAATCTACGTGAACTGAGATTCTGATTTTCAGAGATGTTGAACTCCTGTAGTGTTGATTCACTTTAACTAGACTTCTTGGGGGCTCTGTGGTTCTGAAAATAAAGGTCTGGAGTATCTTGTGTTGGACAACCAATTAAAGTTCAAAATTAAGCCTAAATCATTTGAAGGCTTCTTAGTGACAGAGCCAGAAATAGAAGCAAGGACTTCTGACTTCCATTTATCAACCTTTATCACATGTCCAATCTTTCTCCCTTCCAATTCTGGCTTGCATCATTTTGCCATATCTCACAGCAATGGAATAAAGCATCATTGGAAAGCTCAAACCTTAGAACATGGCAAACTATTCCAAGACAATATATGGAGGAGAAGAGAAAACAGAGGAACAAATTTGTGGGCCTAGTTTGTGTGTGTGTACTCAACTCCTAGCTGAAGGCTTCAGAAGGAAGCTCTGGAGACAATAAGTTAGCATTACAGTGAAAGAACCATCTGAGAAATGGCTGTTTTACTACCCCAGACAGAAGGTGATTTCCATCACTGTAACTGTTACACAAGGATGGAGCAGGATCTTCAGAGATGATGATTCATCAGTGCGATTCATCAGTAGTGGGTTGGGGGAAAAGCTGGTGAGGGTTTCCTCCCTGTTAATACTGCAAGACAAATACCTTACATCAGTTTGCAAGGGAATGAACGCTTTTAGCATAAATCTTGTCAGGTATAATAGTAGAGGTGCACCAATATATCGGTTGCCTATTGGCTCAGCACAAAAAAAAGGGAAACTTGCATCATCAGCTACCAACTTTTTTTGGGCATTGTGGCCGGTAATGTTCTCCAATAATTAATTGTGCCTTCTGGCCAAGGCCTCTGGATACCTGGGTTCCCTCCCACAAGCTGGGGTGACCCTGGATACACCACCATCCCTTCACTGGTGGGCTGGGCTGGAGTGGAACAGCTGCTGTAGTGTCCTGGGTGCTGGCATGGTGCAGACTGTGGGATGGGGCCAGAGCAGGTGCTGTAAAAGGTGCCAAATGCTGTAGACTTGACTGTGGCAGGAAGGGTGGGGTGGGGCGTGGCCTGGCCCAGCCGAGCCCAGCATGATTCAACCCACAATGCCTGGGGATCTGTGCCCTAGGGGCTGGGGCAGAGCCTGGCAGGGGCTGGGCAGACACTCTCTCTGCTGTGTTGCAGGACCCTTTCCCCTTGGGCAGCCTCAGGCTCAGGCAGCCGCCCTCAGGCTGAGGTTGAAGGGCAAGGGCTGCATCTGGAATGGGGCACTTTTACATGTGCTCCGAGATTGGGGGGGCAGCACTTTAATTACAACAGCTCTGAAAGCTGCTGAAATTAAAGTGCCACCTTGTCTCCTGTATCAGGATCCCCACACTTAGAAATGATGGTGGGGTTGCTTGAACTAAAGCTTGTTCAATGAGCTTTATTGCTAAATATCAGTTATCAACTCAGTCTCAGTCAATATGGCTGGTTAATAATTGGCTATCAGTATCATCCAAGAAAACCTTTGTTGGTGCACCCCTATTTGACAGGGGTGGGCGGAGAGGGGTTGCCATTTTTATCGGTCCATTGCTGTTGCAAAAAAACCCAGCTATTCACCAAAGTGCCCCAGGGGAAAACCAGAAGCAAT